GGGCTGGACCCCAGCCATAGCCTCGGCCTGCAGCTCGCCCCACCTGATCGGTTATCAGACCTCGTGGCCCCCAACCCACCCTCTTCCCCCTCGAAGCTCCTGCCTGGGCCACTGCCGTCTCTGGTCCTCACGCCACCCTCCACTGCCAGTCGACCTTTTCTACAAACAGGACAGACCAGGCCACTGCCCTGAGAAAATGCCTCCCAGCTTCCACGCACCCTGCTCGGGTGGTGCGGTGGTCCTGCCTGGGTACTGAGACCACGCTCAGGCCTCCGACGTCACGTCTGGGGCAAACACAGCTGCCCTCTCGGCCTCCAGGCCTACGCGGGAGCCCAGCACCGTATGTGCTCCAGCTCTCAGCCCGCGGCTCTGAGCACCTGAGCCCTCCGGTTGTGGCTCCCTGGAGACAGATGTCCTGATCTTCACTGTGGCAAGTACTCCAGGGGTGGGAGTGGGGGAGAGACATGGTCAGGAGCCAGCAGGTGCCAAGGTAGTTAAGGGCTGGACTCCCACATGGCCAACTGTGGTTCAAGTCCCAGGCCTGGTGCCTGGAAAATCATGCCAGGCTCCTGGGTGTGCATGCCCGAGATCTCAGGAAGAAAACGAAGGGGACGAGACTGTGGCATGTCCATCCCCGAGGGGTGATTTCTCACTTCTCTCACCATCTCTCTCTGTCTCTCTCCAGCAAGTGCATGGACCCTATGGTGAAACCTTCAAAAAGAGAGGACAGAGTTGGTCTTCAGTGTATGTGAGACATGCTGCATAGGTGAAAGCAGAGGCAGGCCCACGGAGGAGCGGGCAGACACGGCGGAGGAGCGGGCAGACATGGAGGAGGGGGCAGAACCACAGAGGAGGAGCAGGCAGGCGCGGAGGAGGAGCGGGCTAGCGGGCAGGCGCGGAGGAGGAGCGGGCAGGAGCGGAGGAGCAGGCAGACACGGAGGAGCAGGCAGAACCACAGAGGAGGAGCGGGCAGGCGCAGAGGAGGAGCAGCAGGCAGAGGGGAAAGCAGACACACTGCCTGGTCTCCGCTGCCTGCTCTGCCCGCCCAGCCCTCCTGGCGAAGGAAAGACGTCCCGGGAAGGGCTGCTCCTCACGGAGGGCAGGACCCCAGGAACGGCAGTGAGTGCCGTGGTCTACAGCGGCTTCCCCGGGCCACCGGAGCTCACGCAGCAGCCTGGGCCTCGAAGCACTTGCAGCGGAGGAAGGGCCCAGAACCTGGGCCTGCAGTGGCCCTCTTGCCTGGTCTAGTTCCGGGCAATGCTCCCAGCATGCCAGCTGAGGAGCTCCTTAAGGTCATGAAGTCAAGAGAAGTAGGCACCGTGGGCTCCTTTGCCCACTCCCCCAAGCACCCCAAGTTACCCAGACACTCTGACAGCAGAGATGTGATCTCTGGCTTGTGTAGCCATACCTTGGACAGGACAAGGTTTCCCGGCCAGCCTGCTCTGTCTGGGGTGCCCCCGGGTGGTAAGCCTGCCCCTCTGCCCTCCCTCCTGGCATGTGGCAGATTGTTGGGAGCCACTGGAAAGATGCTTCTAGGAAGTTCCGGGAAGCGTCTGGGCTCGGCTCCCTCTCCACCTCTGGAGGAGGTTCTCTGGGGTCCAGAGCGCATGCTGGCTGCCCAGGCTGATGCCTCTCCCCAGCATTCGGGGAGGCACGACAGCTGCCAGGGCTGCTCCAACACCTGGGCTCTGGAGGCTGTGTGGGCATCCGGGCCTCGAGCCAGCAGCACAGGGGCAGCCCCCGCGAGCCTTGCACACCCCCAGGCCCACCTGCAGGGCCACCTCTGAGCAGTGACCATCACGTGACCTGCCCTCTGCAGTGATGCCGTCCTCTCTCCGTCTGGGCACTTGGGAAGACACGGAAATGTTACTGGCTGGGGTCTGGGCCCTCACCATGGAGAGCCCGAGCTCAGAGGACCGGGCCCTGGGGACGACGGCCCAGTGTGCGAGCAGACAGGAGGAGACGCCGGCAAGCATGGCGGGCCCAGCGTGGGAGAGCCGGGACCTGCCTCCCCGGTGCCCCGACCACCCCGACAAGGCTGGCTACGTGAGGCCACCAGAAGCAGGCCACACTGCTGCACCAGTGACCCGGAGGGAAGGTGTCAGACCCGTGTAGACAACGGGGCGTGTGCCCTGGAAGGAGGAGCGGCAGGCTACCGGCCAGGCTCCAGGAGAGAAGGACCACGTGGACAGAAGGCTCCCCTAGAACCTGCCTCCGTTTCGGGGAACCAGAGCCCAAGCACTGGTAATACAGAGGGAATCCTGACAGCGTGAGCAAGGACACACATCCAGACAGGGAGGGCAATCTGCTGGTTCCCGAAAGACATGGAAATGGGAGCAGCCCGCTAACGCCGGCTAGGAAGACGTGGAATGGTTTTAGCCTTCCAGACTCCGTGGCCACTGTCCCCGGCACTGGCCCCTCTAAGCGATGGCTAGCACGGGCGAGCAGAAAGCCACGTTCCTTGCCGACA